AATTCTGTAAACTCTGTCCCATACACTTTCTCGCTATTGTTTCATACAGAATTCTTTCCAGTTTTTTGTTTGGACATTTTAGCTTCTCTTCATAACTCCTCTTTACTTTCGAGGATTCTTCAACTACATACTGTCGTCTTTCTGGTGTTATTATTATTTTCCTTGTCATTATCTCTTTCTTCTGCGTTTCAAGTACGTTGTTCTGCAAAGGTAAGTTAAATTTTCCTTTATTTTTATTTATTTTAGGTACCTGTATACTTTTCGCACGATTTGTTAACACAATTTACATACTTATTAATTACTGTGTCTAATTTTTCTATGATATTAATTTGTTCTATTGAGTTCTTGGTTATGTTTTCTTCTTTTGGTATTGGATTTATCTAAGTATTTTTTGAATTCAAACCAGTCTGCTTTTTTGCATTATGGTGCTATAAACAGGCCTTTCTCATTTTGGTTTCTATAATATTATTGAAAAGGATATAGTGTTTTAGTCAGAACTTGTTATATTCTTGTTTAAGAATGCATGTACTATGATCGTATCCATGTCGCTGAAAAGCAGTTTTTTGCCGCTGAAATCGGTCAGCTGGGGACCTTCTAGCGTATGCCATACACGTATGGGGCGAGGCACTCGAGAACAGTGGGGAAGCACTTGCCGTTTCCCTTGATATCTCAAAGTTTGGCACGCTAGCCTTCTGGCTAAGCTTCCAGCATACGGCTTATATCCCGATCTGATTGACTGGGTAAAGGACTTTCTGAGTAACGGTCTCTCCAGGTCATCGTTGATGGCTGCTCATCCATTCCAGTGACGACTAACGCCGGTGTTCCTCAGGGAACCGTTCTCTCCGCAACTCTCTCCGTGCTGCATATAAATGATTTGCTTATGCCCGATATATATGGATGATACACAGACGACAGCACAGTTGTGGAGAGATATCAACCAGGTCCTCGGGCCAGTCCAGCCCGACAGAAAAGCTATGATAGAGCGTGCGAATCTCACACTACAGGCAGTCTCCGAATGGGGCGATGCTTATCTTGTGAAATTCAACGCCTTCAAAACACAAGCGTGTCTCTTCACTGCAAAAATGAGCCAGCTCACCTTGGCTCCTTCTCTCCGAAATGTATCACTGGAATACATCGACCGCTTCCAGTTGCTGGGGGTTGATATATCCTCAAATCTGAACTTCGGACGGTTCATTGAGTCCAAGGCTAAAGCGGCTGCAAGGAGGCTAGGAGTCCTTGCAAACGTGCAACGATTCTTCACGCCAGGACAGATGCTTACTTTATATAAAGTGCAAGTCCGGTCGTGCATGGTATATGGTGCTGGTGCTGGTGCTGGTGATGGTGCTGCAAAATGCCACCTAGCGGCCTTGGACTCAATGGAAAAGCATGCTAAGAGGCTTATTGGTGACCCGAATTTGTTTGAAACCAATCTTACCAACCTCGAACACATCGCAAAGTAGCCAGCCTTTCGGTCTTCTACAGGATGCATTTCGGAGAGTGTGCGCAGGAATTGCATAATTAATTCCTCCCTCTCCCTTCCACCATCGGACGACAAGACGTTCAGCCAGTCTCGATCCTTTCGTTATTGACTTAAGAGGTATTCGAACCATACGGTTTGCTACGTCGTTCGTTATGCGTACAGCAAAGGAGTGGAATAAGTTGCCAGCATCTGTCTTTCCATCCGATTACAATGTGTAAGGTGCCTTCAAAGCAAGAACCTTTTTTTTTGTTAAGTCAGTGCGCTTTACCATCTTAAGCTACATCACCACTTACCATCAGGTGAGATTGTAGCTAAGTGCTGGCATAGAAAAGTTAAAAAAAATATAGACTATGCAGATTATTTTCCATAAGGTTTATTTTCGGTTTACGTAAGTATGACCACATAATAATCGTTCAAAGCTTAAATCGCTAACTATACCTATGTCAAAGGCGATGCTCCAGTATTTTACATCTACTTTATTCTATTTTAAGCGATCCAAGGTTGCCTTCTTATTTCAAGGATAACTTTCATTTCCCTCATTCGATCGACCGTTGAACAGCACAGGTCTAATTTTTTAGGTCCTCTTTTACGTTACAGGCTATACTGCTATACATCGTACATATAACATACGTACATATATGTGTTAAAGTTACAGACGTCGTACTGCTGGTCATAAGCCTCCTCTCAGTTCTGAGAGGGTTTTAGGGAAAGGAAATGTCCGCCGAGCTGCCCCATTGCATGTTGGCGAACTTCACATGTCTTCGAAATATTTGTTTTCTTATTTCTCAGACATACAAGCTTTCTCAAGATGCCGAGCACGTGGTAAATCAACATTTAAATTACAATTAACAATTTCATTGGTGCCGGTTGCTTGCGTACTGTGAAATTTACAGCAAGCGTAGCCCCTGAGTTACCACGGCTTTATATATATATTGTTGCAAGCCATAATTAATGCCACTAGTGTCATCTAGTATAGAGTAGCAGAACTAGGACAGCTTTCTAGATGTTTCAGTGGAAAAAGCCTATATAAGGCCAGTAAAACCTTGACCGCGTCACTATTGAATTGGCGATTCAAGCGAATACTTCAAAGAGTATTCGCTATTAGGTAGGTAATATACTAACGCCCACACACACACACACACACACACACACACACACACACACACACACACACACACACACACACACACACACACCCATTTCTTTCTCTTTTCTCTCCTTTTTGATTACTTGTGCAATCTCTATCTGTACCATAATGATCCACATCCTGTGAGGAGTGTGCTGGTGCTCTGAAACACAGGCTCTTAGCCTAGCTCGGACGCCAGTCTCTCACAATCTAAATATGTTTGTTCCCTGGTGTTAACCTCTGTTCATAACTATACTAGTTTTTTAGATTGTGGAGAAAATAAAGAATTATTCTTATTATTATTATTTTTGGGGTATCTATATAATTTTAAGTCAAAATGAAAAGATAAATATACATAAATATCAATAAAATAAAATAAATACAAACAATACATAAATAAATAAGATCCAACCAGATGGAAGCCCTCGGCAGTTGAGACCAAACGGCCGAGGGTTAGGAGGAAAGGGAAAGAAACCGGCGGACGATGCGGGCGGTATCGAGGAGCACCGCCTTCTGCATTTGAGCTCGAAGCGGTCCGTCACGGAGTCCCAGTCGCCTCAGATGACCCGAGAGGCTGACTGGGATTAGCACATTCTCAGAGACGACTACAGGAATAATTTCGGCCGGCAGACCGGCAGGCTTTCACGAGGTTCTCGTCATACGGAATGGTAATGTCGATCAAAAATATCCTTGACTGTGCCCGGTGGCTTATTCGCAAGAATAGTCCTGTCTGTGATGATGGCCCGGTCCCAGTAAAGCCTGGCGCGGTCATTTTCGAGCACGGCTTCCGGCAAGTTCATGTAATACGGCAATTTCCGGTCCACGAGACCGTATTTCAGAGCGAGCCCCTGGTGTAGAATTCAGGCTACTAGGTTGTGCCTGTGCAAGTACTCAGAGTTAGATAGCGCCGAACAACCGGAGATGACATGCCTAAGTGACTCACCGGGATGGCGACAAGCTCGACAGACGTCGACGTGCCATAGTGTACTCGTGTTGGTCTTAATAACCTGATCCTGTATTGCACAGACAAAACCCTCGGTTCCCCGAAAAGGTCACCAAAACGTAGCAGTTGAGGGAGGTGACTGTATCTACGAAGGGCTCCTTCTCCTTCCATACGGCCTCCCGGTCGGAAATGCTTTGTACTGCCGGGTACTGCCATTGCTCGTTGGCTAAGGATAGAGGAGTAAGCCCTTTATCACTAGAAATGACGTCATTATAGAATGGATCATCCGATCTCGCCAGAAATAATCACGGAGGCTGCACACTTCGCGATTATGCATGGTGAGCGCGCTCAGGAAGCCACGCCCACCATGCTTTCGCGGCAAGTACAGCCTCATTACCGACGATCTCGGATGATGCATCCTATGAAACGTCATGGTAGTGCGGACTTTTCTATCCAGGGCGTTAAGTTCAGTCTGAGTCCACCTGAGTATGCCAAAAGTATACATGAGGACAGGCATGACCCAGCCGTTATATGCGTGTGTCTTATTCACACCGGACAAAAGGCTGTTAAGCACTTTGGTCAAGCGTGCATAAAACAAACAAACTGACTGTTTCATACCAGCCGAATCGATACCGATGTTCTGTGACATACCCAGGTATCGGTATGTTTCAGCCTCGGAAAGTGTTCTTATGTTGACAGGCATATATAAGTCTATGCCCTCAGAGTTAGCAACCCTTCCCCTTTCAACATGGAGGACCGCACACTTATCCGTCCCCAGCTCCATTCCAATAGAATTGCTAAATTCACAAATGATGTTTAGCAATTCCATAAGATGGGAGCGACTGGAGGCGAATAATTTGAGGTCATCCATATAGAAAAGGTGGGTAACTTTTGTACCTCCTTTCCGAAGCTGAAATCCCCTCCCGGAGCCCTCCTGTAAAGTACTGAGAGGGTTCAAAGAGAGGCAGAACCAGATTGACAGAGGATCGTACTCCACTGCCCCCTCGAGGAAGTCTCGAACTGTACAGTCAATCTTGTACAGCTCAAGGACCCTCTTTAGCCATGTATAGGGCACCGAGTCAAATGTCTTTCTGTAGTCTATCCAGGCGGCGGAGAAGTTCCGACGGTTGCGTTTCACCACTTTGCCTTGACCGCGTCAATGAGGAGTGGTTCCTTGGTTCCACGACCGCCGCCCCGATATCAATTTTGAGCGTGCGACATCACCTGATTTGAGTCCAGGTGACGAGTGATTTTCGCGCTCAAAATTGATGTCAGTGTCTTGTATATGGTCGGTAGACACGTGATGGGGCGGTATTTGCTCGGGTCTGTGGTACCCTGGTCTTTAGGAACCAAATGAGTGATCCCAGTAGTGAAGAGGCTTGGGAGCGACTTCTGGTTGAGAGCCTCTTGAAACTGTCGGACGAGCACAGCGTGACACACCATGAATCCCTTCAGCCGGTAGTGATGCAGCCCGTCAAGCCTCGTCTTTTGGAACTTTTCCAGTTCGGGGCCCCAGGGACCGCCTCAGCTACGTCATCCGGCGTTATGATGACGGGGTCCATGGGCGTTATACCCGCACACTGACTCGCCACAACTTCCGTCCAAGAGCCCTCACTGTGGTTTACGGGCTCTGACCATAGCCTGCGGCAGAATGCGACCGTGTCAGCCTGATTCGGTGCTGGGCCCGTTCCACTTACCATTGGTCGCTCCAGTGATTTATAAAGCCTCTTCTGATCACTCTGGAAGAGACGATTCTGGTTGAACCGTCTCGACCTCTCGGTATATCACCGAATCCGCTTTCCCCAAGCAGCGATTCTCTGCTTCAGGTCGTCTATGCGCTCCGTCAGTTTTTGCATTATATCCGGGCGGGACAAACTAACATTTGTCCCAGCAAACGCCATCCTGACGGTGCGCACAATCCTTGGCCTGGTATTGCCTGACCTGAAGCATATCAGTCTGCTGATGAGGGCCCTAGCCTTTGCGATACGTTCTTCAATTCTTATTCTCCAGGCCGGGATAGCACTACTTTGTCCAGTAGCGCGTCCAGCCGTGGAGAGTTTGGCGCCTATAATACGGCAGACTGCCAGTGCAGCGCCAAAAAGAATTGAGTCCGTCTCGCAAAGGTCCCGGCTGGCTTCCAAATAGGTCACCAGCATTGGGTTCAGAGCCCTCACGACAGCCCGATTCCGCTTGTTTAGGGTTATGCGGGGAAGTCGCGGTCGATTTTCGAGAAGCGTACTGCGCGTTTCCAGAATCGCCTCTTCCAATGTACTCCTCATTTGCTCTAGTTCCAGTTCCTGGGTGATTGTTCCATCATCGTTTGAATCAACCACAACTGGGTTATTCACGGCGGCATCCACGTTTGCCGTTTGCTCTGCAAGTTGTGGCGCCGCATCCTCAGCCCTAGCATTTTCACCCGATGAAGGAACAGCCTCACGTCGTAGCCGTTCAAGTTCGGCAACATCAAATATATTTGAGCGCAAGATATACTGAACTCGGTCTGCCAGGTTTTGCTCGGTGACGGTTATAAATGGCTCTAGCTCAGCAAAAAGACGATGCATCCTAGCCCGATATGTCAAACCTTTCGCCCTAAAATACGCCCGAAGTGCGTTGGTATTCATTTTGATTGTCATTTTTTGCCGAGGCACGGCACTTACACCTCTTGGCAAGGTGCTGACTGACTGCGCTGACGTAGCGGTTTTGTCACATAACTGTTACGTCAGCGGGCGATGGGGTCGTCACTTCCCTACGCCTTTTTATTTTATTATTATTATTATTAAAGCCATAGACCTATTATACTACTGCGTATCAACGTTCGAAGCGATATAATTTTAAACATATTCCAAGCGATGTAATTGTGTTTTATTATTAATTTTTTTTTAGTTTAATTGGTGTTCGATAATAAAAGTGTCACTATTGGTAATTCAATCGGCAGTTTTTATTGTCACGTACCTCAAGCTATGAATGTTATATGTATGTATATTTAAATATGTGCTGTGTATGTATGTACTATGTACATATATTTTTAATATAGTATATACACTTTATATATGTAATATGTTTCGCACCTGCAAACACTAGTCTTTGGCATCCAGAGTTGACTCGCAGAGAAAGCCCTTAACATTTAAGCGTTTTAAATATAATAAAAATACTTATAGAGTATGATATGTCAACAATATTTAGTATTAACTATAAATTACTATATATCGTTGTGCTGCTTATTATATTTTTTCACAGTTTCTTTTTGTTTGGAGTTGACATAGTGAGATTGCTAAAAGGTATAAAGTCCCTTTGTAGACTTTTTAATTAAGGGGACAACAATATAATGTAAATAAACACACAAATAAAACCTGTAGAACAAGAGTAACTATTTTAGCACCACGTAGCTCTAAGAATTGAGAACCAATGAGGACGAAGAAATCCAAAAACAGATGTTTAACAAATGGCTTTGGCACTGCAGGATTTATATATATTTATTCAGTATTATGCAATGACTGCCTCTTTGGTCTGGTAGTCGCAAGCGTGACTACTGAGTGTGAGGTCTCGTGTTTGAATCCCAGGTCAGGCCTATATCAGTTATTGGGATTTTCTGTCAAGAAATTCTCAGTAGCAGCCTGGAATCAGAAAGTTGGCAGCGTTTCACTTCCGTGCTATGAAAACCACGTAAAGACGTTGTTCCTGCGCCTGATCTCTAGTGTCGGATTGCTTTCCTATCGGACTATGAGTGAGTGAGGGAGTAGAGAGTGCGTCCGCGTTAACGCACACATAACGTGCACTATAAATCTGCTCTTCACAAATGACTAGTCTCCGTTGAGACTGGCCACCGTGACGTGACCTAGTTTCAGTCTGAGTGAAAATGAATATTGCTACAATCAGTTCGTTAATTAAGTACTAGTCTTTTTTGTACTATTTATTATTACATAATATCCGTTTTCGTTATCTTAATATACTACTGTTAAACAAGAACTTCTCCCATTGCAATGAGTCACGGCGCTTTTTAAACAGGATCCGGAAATATAACTCATGCTTTCAAATGACGTCCTTCGGAGTTGACCGGGAAATAATAATGCCGGGATTTTCGCCTACATTTACGGTGCAAGGGCAAATTTACCATAGAATAGGTTCACTTTTTCCAGCTGAAAACGAACAGCATAAATTTTTATAAGTATATTTTTATGGGTGACGAAGAAATTGAGGTAGACCGTCGCTGACAATTTATCCAGGGAATTGAGAGAGACGCAGTGTCAAAATTCAAAGATTCTTGCATGAACGTAACATTTTAGTCAAAACATTTAAAACTGCTTTAGAAAACCTACCTGAAGAGGATTATAAAGTCGTCATTCACGCAGATCGGACCCCTCGAGGAAAGCATGAAAGGCCCTACAATGCACCTTTGATAAACGAAATAGCAGCCGTAATTAGTGGTGATCAATTTTCTTCACGAGACATTGTCTTGCGAGCACGTGATATGTTGCAACGAGTAGCCGATACACACAAGTTTTATGACGCCCTGAAATACCCATTGATTTATTGCAAAGGACAAGAGGGCTATCATTTTCAAATTCCACTCATTAACCCGGTCACAAAGGAGCCTACTCTGAACAAAAAAGTATCATGTATGGATTTTATGCGTATCATACGATATTGCGAGAAAATGATTTTAACCTCTTAGCCCGGTGTAGACAATTATTTCATCAATTTTTGGTAGACATGTATGTGAAGGTAGAAAGTGAACGTCTCCGTTATATATATTTAAATCAAAAATGCTGCGCGTTGAGAATTATATACATTTACAAGATGCAGTTTCTAGCGACGCCAATGTAAACCCCAGAGATTTAGGTAAAATGGTAATTCTGCCCTCATCATTCGTTAACAGTCTCCGCTACCTACATGAGTACACACAAGACGCATTCGCCTATGTACGAACTTACGGAAGACCTGATCTTTTTGTAACTTTTACTTTTACAGACACGATTTAGTTGCTAGAGTATTTAGATTAAAAGTACAAAAATTAATGTATGTAATTAACAAAGGGAAAATTTTCGGACAAGGTGAGGACAAAAAAGAGGATTAACGCATGCCCACATTCTAATATGGCTTAAAGAGAAGTTGTGGCCCAGCCAAATAGACGACATAATAAGCGCCGAGATTCCGGATCCTGGGCAAGATAAAGAATTGTATGATACCATCGTCCGAAATATGATTCACGGTCCATGTGGAGCACGAAATTCAATATCGCCATGTATGAAAGAAGGAAAATGTACAAAGAAATTACCTAAACAGCTATTAAAAGAAACAGTGCACAATGACAATGGCTACCCTTTATACAGACGCAGAGCTCCCGAAGATGGTGGCAGGAAAGTTACAATCAAATCTCGCTCTGGAGCATTCGAAACCTTAGATAACATCTGGATTGCCCCGTATTCGCCCATTCTATGTAAAATGTTTAATGCCCACATTAATGTAGAAGCATGTAGCTCTGTCCGCGCAATCAAGTATATCTGTAAGTACATAAATAAAGGAAGCAACCAAGCAATATTTAATCTCAGGAGTGAAGGTGAGGCAAATCCCGTTAATGAAGTACAGACCTTTCAAGCAGGGCGTTATGTCAGCAGTAACGAGGCAGCGTGGCGTCTCCTTGGCTTCCCTTTACACGAAAGGCACCCAACAGTTACTTACCTTGCTGTGCACTTAGAAAATGGAGAGCGTGTATATTTCACCGAAAGAAATTTCCAAGAAAGAATTGCATCACCGCCAAAAACTACACTAACAGCCTTCTTTCAACTTTGTCGAACCGACCCCTTTGCAAAAACGTTGTTATATTCTGAAGTCCCCCGCTATTATACTTGAAACACATCTAGGAAGGAGTGGAAACGCCGTATTCAAGGAGCGCTTGTTGCAAATTGGCCCGGTGTAAAGTCATCACATGACCTTGGTCGTGTGTATACCGTCCATGTAACTAATTTTGAATGTTTCTGTTTACGATTGCTGCTGCACGATGTTCGGGGTCCTACAGGATATAAAGACCTTAAAACTGTCAACTGTCAGGAATGCGCAACTTATAGAGAAGCATGTGAAGCTCTGCATCTTTTAGAAAACGATAATCACTGGGATGAAACCATGGAGGAAGCTGTGCAATGCCAGTCACCAGCCAAAATTAGGGATCTTTATGCAACTTTCATATCATATTGCGGGCTATCTAATGCACATGAATTGTGGGACAAATATAAAGAGTACATGGCGGAAGATATTTTGCGAAGGTTACAGCAGACACACGCGAACATGACATACAATGAACACGTTTATAATAAAGCACTTGGAAAATTGAAGATAAAGTAATGGCATGACGTCCTTCGGAGTTGACCGGGAAATAATAATGCCGGGATTTTCGCCTACATTTGCGGTGCAAGGGCAAATTTACCATAGAATAGGTTCACTTTTTCCAGCTGAAAACGAACAGCATAAATTTTTACAAGTATATTTTTATGGGTGACGAAGAAATTGAGGTAGACCGTCGCTGCCAATTTATCCAGGGAATTGAGAGAGACACAGTGTCAAAATTCAAAGATTTTTGCATGAACGTAACATTTTAGTCAAAACATTTAAAACTGCTTTAGAAAACCCACCTGAAGAGGATTATAAAGTCGTCATTCACGCAGATCGGACCCCTCGAGGAAAGCATGAAAGGCCCTACAATGCACCTTTGATAAACGAAATAGCAGCCGTAATTAGTGGTGATCAATTTTCTTCACGAGACATTGTCTTGCGAGCACGTGATGATATGTTGCAACGAGTAGCCGATACACACAAGTTTTATGACGCTCTGCAATACCCATTGATTTATTGCAAAGGACAAGAGGGCTATCATTTTCAAATTCCACTCATTAACCCGGTCACAAAGGAGCCTACTCTGAACACAAAAGTATCATGTATGGATTTTTATGCGTATCATACGATGTTGCGAGAAAATGATTTTAACCTCTTAGCCCGGTGTAGACAATTATTTCATCAATTTTTGGGAGACATGTATGTGAAGGTAGAAAGTGAACGTCTCCGTTATATATCTTTAAATCAAAAATGCTGCGCGTTGAGAATTATATACATTTACAAGATGCAGTTTCTAGCGACGCCAATGTAAACCCCAGAGATTTAGGTAAAATGGTAATTCTGCCCTCATCATTCGTTAACAGTCTCCGCTGCCTACATGAGTACACACAAGACGCATTCGCCTATGTACGAACTTACGGAAGACCTGATCTTTTTGTAACTTTTACTTTTACAGACACGATTTAGTTGCTAGAGTATTTAGATTAAAAGTACAAAAATTAATGTATGTAATTAACAAAGGGAAAATTTTCGGACAAGGTGAGGACAAAAAAGAGGATTAGCGCATGCCCACATTTTAATATGGCTTAAAGAGAAGTTGTGGCCCAGCCAAATAGACGACATAATAAGCGCCGAGATTCCGGATCCTGAGCAAGATAAAGAATTGTATGATACCATCGTCCGAAATAGGATTCACGGTCCATGTGGAGCACGAAATTCAATATCGCCATGTATGAAAGAAGGAAAATGTACAAAGAAATTACCTAAACAGCTATTAAAAGAAACAGTGCACAATGACAATGGCTACCCTTTATACTGACGCAGAGCTCCCGAAGATGGTGGCAGGAAAGTTACAATCAAATCTCGCTCTGGAGCATTCGAAACCTTAGATAACATCTGGATTGTCCCGTATTCGCCCATTCTATGTAAAATGTTTAATGCCCACATTAATGTAGAAGCATGTAGCTCTGTCCGCGCAATCAAGTATATCTGTAAGTACATAAATAAAGGAAGCAACCAAGCAATATTTAATCTCAGGAGTGAAGGTGAGGCAAATCCCGTTAATGAAGTACAGACCTTTCAAGCAGGGCTTTATGTCAGCAGTAACGAGGCAGCGTGGCGTCTCCTTGGCTTCCCTTTACACGAAAGGCACCCAACAGTTACTTACCTTGCTGTGCACTTAGAAAATGGAGAGCGTGTATATTTCACCGAAAGAAATTTCCAAGAAAGAATTGCATCACCGCCAAAAACTACACTAACAGCCTTCTTTCAACTTTGTCGAACCGACCCCTTTGCAAAAACGTTGTGATATTCTGAAGTCCCCCCGCTATTATACTTGAAACACATCTAGGAAGGAGTGGAAACTCCGTATTCAAGGCGCGCTTGTTGCAAATTGGCCCGTTGTAGGTAGCCCCATAGTCATCACATGACTTTGGTCGTGTGTATTCCGTCCATGTAACTAATTTTGAATGTTTTTTACGATTGCTGCTGCACCGATGTTCGGGGTCCTACAGGATATAAAGACCTTAAAACTGTCAACTGTCAGGAATGCGCAACTTATAGAGAAGCATGTGAAGCTCTGCATCTTTTAGAAAACGATAATCACTGGGATGAAACCATGGAGGAACCTGTGCAATGCCAGTCACCAGCCAAAATTAGGGATCTTTATGCAACTCTCATATCATATTGCGGGCTATTTAATGCACATGAATTGTGGGACAAATATTAAGAGTACATGGCGGAAGATATTTTGCGAAGGTTACAGCAGACACACGCGAACATGACATACAATGAACACGTTTATAATGAAGCACTTGGAAAATTGAAGATAAAGTAATGGCAATGGCAGGCAAAAAATTAAGCGACTTTGGAATGATAAGCCCTCAGCGAACAACCGAAAATGAACTAAGTGATGAAATTATACGTGAAACAAGCTACGATATACCAGCTTTGCAGCAGCAAGTAGCTGAACTTGTACCCCGCTTGCTTCCCGAACAAAAACTAGTTTTTGACAAAGTATTAATCTGGAAATGGTGCACTTTTCTTTTCAGATACCCCTGGAGGAACTGGGAAGACATTTTTGTTAAATTTATTATTAGCGCAAGTACGGAAAGATAAAAACATTGCTGTGGCCGTAGCTTCCTCCGGTATAGCCGCCACGCTGCTAAGCGGGGGCCGCACTGCACATTCTGTTTTTAAAACTCCCTCTAAATCTAGCCCAGGAAGAATCGCCGATCTGCAACTTTAGCAAAAATACTGTACGAGGTATAATGCTACGACAATGCAAACTTTTGTGTGGGACGAATGTACAATGTCGCATAAAAAAGCTGTAGAAGCACTAAAGCGAACGCTCCAGGATTTGCGCAGCAATACCGATGTAATAGGAGGAATGGTGGTTTTACTGGCTGGTGACTTTCGCCAAACTTTACCTGTCATTCAAAAGGGCACAACTGCAGATGAAATTAAAGCATGAAGTCGTCTATTTTATGGAACAAGGTGACAAAATTCAGTTTAACTACGAATATGAGAGTGCATTTGTATAATGATATCAATGCTGGAAACTATGCTGACACACTAATAAAAATTGGACGATGAGCGGTTGGAAACGGATGCTGAGGGCTGTGTTGAATTGACGAGAGATTTTAGTAATTTAGTACAGTCATTCCGAATTAATTGCGAGCGTTTATTCAGATTTTACGAACAACATGCATGAAGACAAATCGTTATGTGAAAGGGCGATTCTTGCACCAAAAAATGAGAGCGTTAACAAAATAAATTCAGATATATTAAGTGAAGTAGTAGGAGAAATAACAGAGTATTTGTCAGTAGACACAGTTATGGACACAGAACAGAACACTTCATATCCCGCAGAGTTTCTAATTTCTCTAGAGTATCGCCCTGTCAGTCATGCTAATGCGAAATTTAGATGCTCCTCGGTTATGTAACGGGACAAGGCTGCGTGTGACACATCTTGGAAGGAACATAATCGGTGCTACAATTTTGACAGGCGTAGGAAAAGGTGAAAATGTTATTATACCACGGATCCCTATAATTCCCACAGATCTTCCTTTTCAATTCAAAAAGTTGCAGTTCCCTATTAAGCTCAGTTTTGCAGTGACAATTAATAAAGCGCAAGGGCAAACGTTACAGGTAGCGGGGGTCAACTTAGAAAAACCGTGCTTCTCTCATGGTCAGCTGTATGTAGCATGTTCGCATGTGTCAAATGCCCAGAATCTCCACATTCTTTCCCCGAATGGAAAAACATATAACATTGTGTACAGTAGCGTCTCAAAATAGTGTTCAGTTAGTTTTTTTTTTCCAAAATTCCCACAATCAATTTATCAGAATTCCCACAGACCTTCCCTTTCAATTCAAAACTTCCTATTTAGCTCAATTTCTTTTCAATTCCAAATGCTGCAGCTCTGACGGACCTATTAAGCTCAGTTTCCTTTCAACTCAAAAGGCTGCATCTCTGACGGATCTTTTATTTGGCTCAGTTTCCTTTCAATTCAGAAAACTGCATCTCTGACGAATCAATTTAACTCAGTTTCCTTTAATTAAAAAATATCCCATTTCCATTTGGAATAAACAGGCTATTTTCATGCTTTCCTATACGATGCGTTTCAAAACATTTAAATAGGCTGACGAATCAATTTTGCTCAGTTTCCTTTTAATGGCTGCATCTCTGACAAATCTATAAAACTCCGTTTTCTTTCAATTCAAAAAGCAATGGATAGTTCATTTCCCAGTGACCATGCGGGCGAAGCCGTTAGACGTTAGCTAGTTAAAAATAAATAAACCCAATTACAGATATTCATAGAAGACAAATTAAAAAAGAGAGTTAAAAATGTGCAAAAAGTTAAAACAAACCCTGCGACATCGTTTTGTGTATAAATATAATTCTCTAGAAACTAATAAACTTTTATTTAAAACTAAATTCTCAATTAAATGACATTGTGTAACAAAAAAAATTCACCTCAAAGTCAACTAGCGACATCTGGTGAGCGGAATATTATTATCCCTCACTGAAATTTATAGTCTTGTCTTGAAAAACATTTTTATAGAAAGTTTGACAAATAAGTGTAATGACGTTACAGTTTTATAGTCATAATATTGCTTAGGTAGTTTGAAATACATACCAAAAATATAATTAAATATAAAATGGAAAATCAATCAAGTTTTAAGATACTTCTGACAGTAATAAATTCTAATTATAATATGGTGTACTTAATTAGGGCAGATTTTTCAATCCTCAGATAAAATTTATTCAAAGAATTAAAAATACAAAGTATGTAAACAAATTAGAAATTACAGTTGGATGAAAAAAATAGTTCAATTGTTTTGCTTTTATGTTCAGTTAGGTTATAATGTATCCATAAACGTTATCCATAAACACTTCTGAGCATGACGCCTGTCACCCAAAAAGGGTAGGCAGGGACTACTGATTTCCATTTAGCACGATCCTCACACACTTTTCTCGCATCCTTTACATCCATATCGCTCAACCAACGCGTAGATGCTCTATCGATCTACCACACCCTAGTTCGTTGTAATTTATTCGACGGATAACTTTTATTTGACGATTGTAAATAATTTATTACTTCAATTATGGTGGTATCAACTACGTATCCAATTTACATAAATTATTGTAATTTATCTTAATTTACATATTATTTTTGGTGAGGAAATCCCTAATAATCTTGTTGATTTTCTCCGGGGCTTCTTGTTGCAAGAAATGTGAGCAATTCTCGATTAGCATTGTTTCGATATGTTTGTATTCTTTCTTCATACAATCCAATATACTAGGGCCTAGGTATTTATCGCGCTGTCCATTCGCTATGAGCATAGGAACCTTTTCATCTCTGTACTTCTCTGGTAGAGGTAGTTGGAAATTCGCTCTGTAATAGTTTATTGGAGGAGTGAGTGCGCCTGCAAAATGAAATAATCATTAAAATTTGGAATATATCACAGTACCTATAGTTATTTTAAAACAAACCTTTTCATTAAGCAATTGTAATTAACAATAGTATTATGTCATCATAATATGTTAGTCATATTTGAAAATTCATTGGCCTATTTAAGTGACAAAAATGAATCTTTTAAAATTTTGGCATATTTAAGTGAAAAACAAGTTTTAGTAAAATAGCAGATTAAGGCTATTGTGTTTCATTTGGTGAATGTAGAAAACCAGAGAACATTTTTACTAGAAAAGAGGCATTCCATCTCAGTCCTCAGTAGAGGCAGCGCATCTGAATTTTGATTCTTAACCGAGGATAAATGTAGGATATGTATGTGCTCGTTTGTCACCTTATTCTATAAAAAAATATTTTTCTTCTCAAGTAGGTTCTTTTCACCTACTATCGAATCTTATGTCAGTTCATTGTATATGGAGTTCTTGAACTCCTTCCTGTATTGTGCATACAATTTCTTTAAAAAAGTTTGTTTGTTTTTTTTTCATGTAAAAATTGCTCTCAGAACAATTATACTCCATCAAATCTAAGAAATATCTTTTGACATTTCACATTAATCATTCCGCAATAACTTTGTACAAGCGTACTTACAGGATTTAAAATTCCTTTTACCTCAAATAAAAGAATTATGAAGTCATCTTTACTTCGATAAAACATGTATAGTTTATCACTAATTTAAATTCAAATCTTTCAAACAAAGCAATTTTTTTAACCAGAATAAACTTTTACTTGACGTTGTTTCAATGATATTTCGTTAAATGTATCGTACCATAGTGATTGCATGATAAAAACTCATGCTAATGCGAATAATCGGTAAAAATATACACTTATATAATCGATTTTGTTTAATTTATTATTTGTTGACAATTGTTATTTTAGAGTTGCATAAATTATATGAATTATGAATTAAACAAATCTAATGTTTTTATAATTTCTGTCAATCCCACTGCGGCGAAGTTGTGAGTAAGTTTGGAAGATGCAAGCTTGTATAATGGTAGTACATAGTCAATTGAAACATTTGAAAAGGAATTGAATTCCGATAAAAAAATACAAACGCAAAATTATTTTGAGAAATAAGTGAAAAGAATAACATTTTTACGAGAAATTAAATATATAATAGAATTTGTTAGAAAATACAACTAAGTAACTACACAAGGGATGACTGGGCCAAAATGATAGAGAAAACAAAGAAAACCGTTACGGACAATTGTTTTGCATTATAGAAAATCAAATAATAACTAACGTAACCAACGATGATGACAACAGCTCAACTAGTTGTAGTGAAAGTGATTAAATAAATTTGTTTTTAAAAATCGTCGTTGGTTTTTGGTTTATATAACTCAAGAAATTAGCAGTTAGCAATAAATATGAACAAAATGATCAATTTTGTGTTTTGAGTTATCTGTATCTAATTTATTCTGGTACTATAAATTATTACCAACTGTGAAGAATCGATATTGAATATTGCAGGTACACGATTTTCAGTTGGACTAGGAATTTCAAATGGAAAATCTGAAATGTGACATCTGTCAAAAGGTATTTCTTATATTTGGTGGAATATACTCTAAAACAAATCTATACATATAAATAAAATTGGAGTGTCTGTCTTTAATATTGAATTAAATGGCTTCCATTATGTTCAGGGTGGTAATAGACATGCTATTTATACAATAAATAACAATTTTTTACTTTTTGTGTCCATCTGTCTATCTGTGTCTGTGATAACTGTTAATATTCGAGATGGTTGTGATGAAACTAATGGTGGTTACTATATATAATGTAAGGTGTTTTATTTGGTAGAGGTTTGGTCCCCGATTATAATAATGCCACTCATATTAAAAGATAATACACTGTTCTTGATAAAAATCAAAAAGAAAATCCCATAAAACTAACCTCAAAATGATAACTCAAAATGAATTAAGGGGTGGGAGGTGGTGGAGTTGTAGAGTCGCCCCCAATTTCTACATCCTGCCGGACATGCTTAGATCGTAGCCCCGCTTCGCAGGGCTCCTACTTCTGAGTGGTTTACAAAAAAAAATAACCACGAAGGGAATGGCGTCACCATCCCCTTCTAACCTAACCTGTCCAAGTTAGAGTGCCCTAAGTCCCGAGCTCACTTCGCTCGCTCTTGCACTCAACAAAACATCAAAATATTAGCTTTTATAATCACTTTAAATTATAAACATAATATATAATACAATAATAAGCACACTACGGCTCGCACATGTGCCTGCGATTTGCTACGACAGGCAGGGGCTGCTCTCCCGCCACGCCTACGGCTTTACAAAAACACTTTAGGAGTAGGGCAGACAAGATTACGTGAATTCGGGGTGTGCTGATTTAATTTTAGTACAGATTCAATCAGATCAGATATCTATAGTTAGGTTGGCTTCGCTCCCGCCACAACCACAAAATTCTGTATGCTATCCAGCTTTCACAGTAATATCGTATAATTTTTTTAGAAGGGCTAGAACCCAGAGCCGTAAAGTCAGTTAATAATAAAAAGTGTATTGTTCTATACTTTACGCATTTTAGGTTATAATAGTTTTTATTTATTTTTTCGATAACGGTGTATTACCTTTTAATATGAGCGGTATTATTATAATTGGGGACCAAACCTCTACCAAATAAAACACCTTACTCCCCCAAATTCCTGCCAAACGATTCTAAATCCAACCCTCCATAGCGCATAGCGCGTGATATGTATGTAGTCGCAGAGGCGCTATGACGCTATGACGCTTTGGCGCTATTAAGTATAAATATCTAGCGGCAATTAGTTCTAGCTTGCTACATATTTATTTATCTATGACTAGTTCTAGCAGCAGCGCTGTTAGGAGTGTACGTGGGACGCTATTCATAGTAGCACCCTATTCATTGCACGCGATTTAATTTAGTGTTAGATGTTGTTCAGTTAGTGTTTATTTATAAGTGATCAAAGGTCAAAGTTGTCCCCTACGAAAGTATACTCTTATATAATAGTGTATGCTAATAGTTGATTTTTGTATATACAATCCATAAAATTTTAAATGCGCCTTTGATTTATAATTTACATTAAGGTGAAAATAACATTTACATCGATTATAGAAAGTCGTAAGCCTTAAAATATATGAAAGAGTGTTCATTGGTTTTTCTTTACCGCTTTATTTTATTTTAGTCTAAAATGCGACTTATTACGAAAAAATGTTCTTATATAGTACGCAGTCTATCCAACGAACGACATATAATGTAACGTGTTAGGAGATATAGCGTGCTATAAAACTTAACGCCCTTGCCAGCGTCCTACATGCTTTCTTATAAATAGCGCGCTATAACATTTAATAGCGCGCTAGAAATTTATAGTTTATAGTCAGTAGTATGCTAATGATTTATAGTCGTTTTGAATAACTTTAGGTGAAACATTACGAACAGTTAGAGAGCAATGCCAGGAGGGATCTGAGTTATATTTTATCTGAATCCTTCGTTATTTTTATTATAAATCTAATCACTCCTCATTGTTAGATCCTACCCAGGCGAAGCTAGAACACTTCAAATAATTATAATTCATATTTATAAAAAAACACAAATCTTTAAATTCCCGCATTCTCGAATTGTACGAACGTCCTTCACAGATTTGCTGCATTTATATTTTTTTTTATTGGAACGACTGCTTCAATTAAAACATAAAGATCACTAAGTAAGTCACACATATATTCATTCAACAGTATATTGTGTTTATGCACTTATAATTTATTCAGAAGAGATTTTAACGCAAATTTCAATCAGTCAGATTTCCGAAACCTTACCAATATCACAGAATAAAGAATAGTACAAAAACCAATACCGGAAATTTATTTATCAAAACATTATAAATAGCAAACAAACCTTCATCATTCAAGAGAAAGAGCCCTGGTAGCTCAGAGGGTTAGCGCTCGCTGTAAATTTCAGAGTACGCGAGCAACCCGGGTTCGATCCCCGCCGGCACCAATGAAATTGTTAATTGCAATTTTAAGTGCTGATTTATCACGTGCTCGGCGGTGAAGGAAAACATCGTGGGAAAACCTGCCTGTCTGTAAAAGAAAAAAAAATATTTCGAAGACATGTGAAGTCCGCCAACAGGCATTGGAGTAGCCGGCGCACTTCCTTGCCCTAAAACCCTGCCAGAGAAGCGATATGTTAGGGAATGTTATGAGTTATAATATGTTACGGTGTTACTACTACTACATAGTCGTCAAACCTGAAATTGAACGAAAGCATATACCAAGACTTTGTACTCCGTAGGTATAGTTAGTCGACGGAAATCCGACTGAAAATGAAGTTAACGGATGCTAGTTATACATCTAAATAAACATATTGTAATACGTAGAGAAGCAGTTCGTACAATTTGGTAAACTCAGTGACATCCCTTGATGTGGTGTTATTAATCGTCGCCACTACCAATTGCTGGGCAATTTCCGAACGAACGAACTACTTCTTTAAACATCGACTATTGGAGAGTTTGTTGGAGATAGTAAGGAGCCATGCTGCAGTTATATTAGTAGTATTATACGTTATAGAGCCATGCTGCAGCTATATTAGTAGTATAGTTGTAGCACGAATGGGTCGGCTCAATCGGGGAAGGACCACGCTCTCACAGAATACCAGCGTGAAATAGTACCTTAATGCTGCTGTGTTTCGTATGGTGAGTGTAGAGAACCGGAGACACTTTTTGCTGGAATCGAGGCATTCCATTTTAGTCCTCACGGGTGACAACGCAACTGCATTTTGATTTGTAATCGAGGATAGATGTAGATGTCTATGGGCCGCAGCAACCACTTACCATCAGATGGACTGTATGCTTGTTTGTCACACTATCCTATAAAAAAAGGTTGTTGGGGATGGACGATCCATGTAAATTCCATCCATAAAAACATTCACTCCAAAAGACTTCATCACTATGATAGCAAATGCGGATACCTGTTTTGCTATCATAATATTATACACATCTATTATTAGACACATCCTCATCTACCTCACCGAACCAGATTGTTTTTTGTTCCGTGTATCTCCCACCACCAATTCAAAACTCGTTACTCACTCATTTTATCGACAATTTTAATAAAGTTTTACTTAGCACACACGTTTGTCTTATTAGAGACATTAGTTTGAGCAACTTAAACTGGAGTAGTGTGTACAACTCTCAAAAATATACAGACATCTCCCTTATATCAAAACTTTATTGACTTTTCTATGGTCAAGAGCTCTAAACCAATAAACAATGCAAAGCACTTGATTTAGTCTTAATAGACACAATTTAATGCACTGTTTCTCGAGCAACAAATATAGTATGTATCGAGAATCCGTTACCTCTGCCACTCATAGTTGAATTAACTTTTGTTAATAGACCAACTCTGCCGTACAATCCTGAAACGGGATTCCTAATACACGTAGGCAAAATTTTCATCTCGTTGACTACCAAAAACTTTTAAAAACATTTAGCCAAGATTGATTGGGACGAACTTTTAACTGGCGTCGAAGGCATCGATCAGATCGAATGTAAATGTACCTGTTACCAGAGTAAAGAGTAAAAAATATCCACCATCCAAAAAAATAAGTACAGAATAATATACAAAAAACATTTGATTAATCCAAATGTGCATGCCTTATGCATTTATGTTATAGGTACGTCAATTTTTCAAAGTATTTTAAATACACATAAGTTTTGACAAATAACCTTATTATTAAACTATCACTTCTAATTTTCCGATAGTTTTATGTCAAACTTCAATATAAAAAAGTTTTGAAAATCCAAAAGTGCTCGACCCATAATGCTCATATGATTGTGAAAAAATGTAGAAAAACAAATGTCACATATAATCATTTATCTTTCTGACAATGTGATTATTATTTTAAGGTTGAGAATTTTTGATACTGTTATGCTGTAAGGGCATAAATAATTTTCAGTAGAATTATACTTATTTCGTTATACCATTTAACTGTGTTATTTACTATGAACTATTTTTTATCTCAGGAATCAAAACTGAAAGCAATTATTTTTGTAATAATAAATATCTATGATTTTTACAGTTTGCAGCAAAGCGATGACTTTTCCCAGATTTTCTATCATAATAACTTAGCCTAATGCACATTAATACTTAAATAAAAACATCTGGATAATTTGATTTCAGCAGCAAAGATTATGTCTAAAGAAAGAAACGACAGACAGAGAGAGAGAGACCAAAATTCTGCAGATTATTAATTTGTGACTAGTGGCTGCGTCAGAACATCTACTACTCTATATCGTCCCGTACATAGAATACTATAATACAATAATACACAATATAATGGCTGTGAACCTTATTTTATACGACGATAGGCGTCGCCGGGAGCACACATACAAGGAATAACGTCGTATTATCACTACTACAAACCCGATTCGCTGTGTTGACAGACAGATTTTAATACATATCTATTTGTAAATAGCATGCAATTAGGCATTTTTCAAATAATTTGCATGGGAAATTTGGAAATTATTGTGACGTCAAAACACATCTCGTGTTGACATTTATACGTTTGAATTGACGTGTCAGGGCATACTATATATTTTTATTCTTTTATAGTATTCTATGGTCCCGTGGGTATCAGAGGGACACAAACCAGGAGATGGACAGCAACGTCCTTCTGATAACTACTAAAAATAAAAAAACTGTGATTGCCTTGTTGTTTGTTAGTTGTTTGCTGGTGGTTACATTGGTATTACGAATTTACAATGATGACATAGGAATTGGAATAAAGTACAACGTAATTAGGTACTTAGATACTTACACGGCTTCCCAAACCAGTATTTGTAACATTCGATATCATTTTCGTTGCTGTGATCCTTAAACATTGCGTCAAAAGCTCGCAAATTGTTCATTTGTATCATTAGCTCGGGCAATACTGGCATGCGGTAGAAAAAAACATACCTGCGAAATAAAATTTGTAAAATATTACACTAGTACCATAAATATCTAAAATCCAAACTGGTACGATGAATAATATAGTGGTAGTAAATACAGAAGTAGTTCAATTTTGTCTCAAGGAATCTTTAAAACTTCATCATCATAGCTTCTAAGTTTTCGAACGAATTTGAAGTTAGCAGGATATTCATTGATAAGAATATTTTAAGAAATTGAACTTTTTACGTATATCAGGATATTGTTAAGTTGAGGTCCTCTAAACCACTTTAAGCATTTAAATTTACCTCATTTTAAGAACCCTTCACTTTTATAATAGTTATTTCAATTAAATTTAAAACAAGCAGGATACTGATTAAAGTATATAAAAAAATTATAAAAGATCTGTATATCGAAACCCTATTAGGCAATTGCGTGTCCATTTCCTGAAACACACTTACCTAATTTTTTAACACGTGACGTGTTGTGGCAGTGTTCCATTTCCGAATAAAAAATTTGGCATATATATGAGGAATGTTTGTGAAATCTATGCTCTACAGCAGGGATGGGTAACTAATGGCACGCGTGCACTAACTAACTAGATACACACGCATGCGATCGATGGCACACGACAAAATATTTTGGGCACGCCACCGATCGCAAAGTTTACAATGAAGTTTGATATTACGAACGAACGCGAGTGATGCTAGATAAATCGTGGACTTCTATTGTTAATTACGCATAGTTCGTTTCATCATCATCATCGTTATTACAGCCCTTCACAAGTCCACACCTCCTCCAAAGAATGTATAGTTCTTTTACTCATAATTGTCAACTTCAACTTGACACAACTGTATTTAAAATTCATTTCTATGTTACTTTAATTTGAATTACGTGTATAACTGAAATATTGTTATACACTGCAAAATGTATTTTGCACTGTATGATTATAAATGTCTCAACTCAAAACTCTTTATTTGATTTTTGTAGAATAAAGAGTTTTGAGTCAATAGTATGTAGTACTATTATTTTCCCTATAATCACGAAGTCAAAATTATTTTGTTGGCGTTGAAAAACAGCACATTGATTCATAAAGGTTTGCCACCCCTGCTCTACAGCATAGATCAGTAATAGCTAATACCCGACATCTTGCTGGATAATATTATTATCAAAAAACTGGGAGAGATGCCTAAAAGCATATAATAAAAATTATGTCGTATTGTTCATTGATTTCAAAAAAGCGTGCGACACGTTTGATCACGAAATGCTTCTTGAAGCAATGCAAGAGTGGGATTCGAGGCCGAATGAACAAATGGTTCCGCAATTACTTGAAAAATCAAAAAAATACACACTATGATTAACGGAATGACTGGGGAAGAAGCCGAAGTAACACTGGATGTGCCAACCGGCTCCGTATTCGGACCTGTTGGGTACATCATGCATGTGAATAGCATTGATAACGTTGTAAAACATTGTTCCACTTATATGTACACCGATGACACGTGCCTGATGTACGCTGACAGAGATATTAAAATTATAGAGGAGAGGATGCAGGCTGGTTTCATTAGTATTCTAAAATGGGCACATGACAACGGCGTTATACTTAACGTATCCAAAACAAAGTGTACGCTTCTACACTCTCCATATATTAGAAAACCTAGTGAAGAAATTAACATCATTGGTCATTCGTGCGAGTGGTTACATAACAAACTGTAACAATGGAAATGTAAAACCACAGAAGTTGTGAATAGTTACAAGTACTTAGGGCTAACAATAGACTGTAGTTTTATTTGGAAATTACATATTGACATTGTCTGTGATAGGTTAAGATCCATATTATCTAGGCTTAATAACATAAAACTTACAGTAAGCAGGTCAATCTTCTATATGCTTTACTATGCACTAGCTGATTCAGCCCTGAGTTATGGACTAATTGCATATGGACGTACTTTTCAAACATATACAGATAAAATTCTTAAGTTGCAAATTAGATTAATAAAATTGTTTATTGATGAAAAAACAAAGAAAAGATATAACATAGACGAAAACTATGATAATTTATTTAAACCTTTTTGAATATAACCTACACATGTAAAATTAAAGTACTTAATTGCAATAGATTAATTTAAATCTCTAGAGTTTAAAACATTTCCAACATTTAACAAAAATGTAAGAAATACTTCGCCAAACAAATACGTTGAGCATAGAGTTAACAATTATACGGCAAGAGGGCGAGAAAATATCTAGCACCACGTATTTTTAACGAGATATTTTCTGAAAACGAATGTGGTAATAAAGAAATATTTAAAAAGAAGTTGAAAGATTATATGTGTACTAAATAATTAATTAGATAATTCATCATCATCATCATTACAGCCCTTCACAAGTCCACTGCTGAACACAGGCCTACCCCAAGTAATGCCACAAAGCACGGTCCTGAACCACCTGCATCCATCGACTTCCTGCATGTCTTACCAGGTCGTCACTCCATTTAGTGGGGGGTCGCTCTACACTACGCCTACCGGTACGAGGCTGCCACTCGAGAATCTTTCTTCCCCATCGGTTATCGGTTCTTCGAGCTATATGGCCGGCCCATTGCAACTTCAGCTTACTAATCCGTTGGGCTATGTCGGTCACTCTGGTTTTACTGCGGATATCCTCATTTCTGAGTCTATCACGCAGAGAAACTCCGAGCATAGCCCTTTCTATAGCTCGCTGAGCGACCTTGAGCGTCTTCATACGGCCAGCAGTGAAGGACCACGTCTCAGATCCGTAAGTCATCACTGGCAACACGCACTGGTTATACACTTTAGTTTTCAGAGATTGAGGTATACCTGACGAGAAGATGTGTCGTAATTTCCCGAACGCTGCCCAGCCGAGTTGAATCCGTCTATTGACCTCTCGGTCGAAGTTGGACTTACCTAGTCGGACTATTTGTCCCAGGTAAATGTACTCGCCAACAACTTCGAGCATAGTGCTCCCAACAAGTACCGGCGTAGATGTGACATGGACATTAAACATGATCTTTGTTTTGTCCATGTTCATCTTAAGACCTATCCGTTGAGAGACAACATTGAGGTCTTTGAGCATAGTGCTAAGGTCCGCCAGCGATTCTGCCATAAGGACTATATCGTCGGCAAATCGAAGGTGAGTGATGTACTCGCCGTTGATGCTAATACCGTATCCTTTCCAGTCCAGTAGCTTGAAAACGTCTTCCAACGCAGCGGTGAAGAGTTTCGGGAATATAACATCACCCTGTCTTACACCTCTCTGCAGTTGGATAGATTTCGAACTCTGGTTCTGTACTCAGATACCTACTGTACAAACACTTCAGCACTTCGATATACCGACAGTCAACTTGGCACCGCTGAAGGTACTGTAGCATCGCCCAAATTTCGACGGAATCAAAGGCTTTCTCATAGTCCACATATGCCAAGCAATGTGGTAGATTTTACTCTTCGGTCTTCTGTACGGTCTGTTGTTCTGTGCCGCAAGGTACGTATGTGGTCTATGGTACTGAAGCCTTTTCGGAAACCGGCTTGCTCGGGAGGCTGGAAGTCGTCGAGTCTGCGTGCGAGACGATTCGTAATGACTCTCGAAAACAGCACGTAGACGCGGCTCAGAAGGGAAATCGTTCTGTAGTTCTTCAAGAGAGCGTTGTCGCATTTCTTAAAGAACAAGACCACCTCGCTTCTGCTCCACGCCTCCGGAGTAGTGCCACCATGGAGGACGGAATTGAAGAGCTTCTGAAGGACTTCAAATACCGGTGTTCCACCCGCTTTCAGAAGCTCCGCTGTAATTCCATCCTCGCCCGGGGCCTTGCTATTATTATTATCATATATACTATTAGATAATTAAGATTGTCTTAAATGTTACAGTAGTAACAGCGCTTAGTTTAACTTTTAATTAGTTTAAATCTTTTAAATTAGTGTAAATTTTATTTTAAGAAAATAATTTGAAGTTTTAAATTACCGTTACAGTTTATGTGTATTTTAAGTTTTAAGGATTATAATATTTACAGTAGGCACATAAAATGTAAGAGGGTGATTTGCCAACAAACTGCCCTGCAGTTTGGCGAAAGTTGTATATAGAACAACCGACTGTATTTTTGTGTAATAAATAAATAAAAAAGCATTTCGTCATCCCTTTGCGAAACTTTGTTACACAGGTTAAGAAAATAATATATAAATAAAAAACACCCGAACCGGTAAGAAGGCAGCTCCTAAGCTGCGAAACATGACTAATTTGGGAAGCATGTTTGTAGACTTTTGAATTGCACAAACGGTGCTTAGGCACATGGAGAAAGTTCTAGAATCACTCGCAATAACACACAATTACATTCATTTGATGGAAAGTTTGCTGTTTCATCGACCTGACGTCAGCATTCGCCTGGCGCGGTGCATTGGTGTCAGTTACGTTATATAGGATTGTTTTCGCACTCTCGTTTTATACAAATTTACGTGTCACAGCGACAGTGTATCATTTTTACACGCGAGCGTGTGCAAAAGTTATACATTGGCGCTGAGAGCATTAAATATGGATAGTTCGATTAATGTTCAACAGATATGTTTTGAAACTTTTTAACTTTAAAAGTTTTTACTTCAGCATTTGATTTGTACTTTAGTTTACTGTAATATATTTTAAAAATATCTACAAAATGTAATGTAATGTATTTTTAATGCCTTTGTAATAAAAATAAATGATAAATACGAGTACGTTTAAATATTGTCACACTATTTAAAGAATTAAGTCTTAGATTGCATATTTATTTTAAAAGACCCCTTTGCTCCATGAACAGAGTACCTTGCAATACTACTCCGAGGTTCCTCCATTCCAATCACAGTTAGTTTTTGCACAATTTGAATCAACACTTGTAAAATATAAAATATCGGTTAAATGATTCTATGACATTACATTAGCTTATGTTATTATTAGAATTTTTTATTACTTATATTTATTATTAGAAAATAATTCTATAAAATCTCTCCTTTTTAAAACAATAGAGTGACAAACGAGTTAATTGCCGAATTGTCGATTAGATTTTTATGTGGTAGAGCCACGCTGCAACATACCAGCGTAACATAGCAGTTTAATGCTCCTGTGTTTAATATGGTGAGATTTAATGGAAACAAGGCATTCCATCTTAGTCCTCAGGGATAACAACGCTTCTGTGTTTTGATTCTTAATTGAATATAAATGTAGATGTTTATAGACCACAGTGTCCACTAACCAAAAGAAGCGGCCAATGTACGCAATAAAAGAGGGTGGTCCTAACCTATACATATACGTAGAGCCCTTACATCTAGTAAAATAACATGAACTAGAACGGCTCAGTAGAGTATCCGGAGTTCGATCCTTGCCAAACACCAGTAAAATTAGTCATAGAAAATGTCAGTGCTGATGTACCATGTGAGCCAGTGAAGGTGACGGTGAAAAATCGTGGGGATCGTGCGAGTAAATTGAGGACTTGTGAGAAGTTATCTTTCTTACTCCATTAACCTAGAAATAAGAGCAACAGCCTCACGAGCCCAGAGCGTATGCCTAATTATAGTTTTTACTTTAAAATTATTTACCAGGAATTCCGCCTTTGTTCCGGGTTGTTCCAAACTTCGTGTAGCCACGCCGTGATTGATGCACTTCCAAGCATAATTATAGCATGCAATGCGTCAGGGTGTTGATTACGAAACTTGCTGGCTACCAAACCGCCCCAGTCATGGGCTACTAAAATGCATTTGTCGCGACCTTAAAATGTAAATAAATATTTGATTACTAAATTTATTTTCTTAAACATCTGGAAGTAACAACAACATTATTCTAATAATGTCCTCCAGACCGCATTCCGGTCACGGCGTCCAGCCTCAACGGAGAATAGCCATCGGCGCAGGACTGGATTATAGTGCCTAAATGTATGCGCAAGCACAGGTGCACTCTCTATTCCCTCACTCTCATAGTCGGATGGGATGGTAACCCGACACTACCGATGAGAGATCAGGCGCAGGACCAACGGCTTCACGTGCTTTCCGAGGCACGGTGGTGAGACACCGCCAACTTCCTGACTCCGGGCAGTTACTGATAATTTCTTGATGGAAAAACTCAATAACTGATTTTTTTGGCCCGACCAGGGATTCAAACCCGGTACCCCATGTTCAGCAGTCGCACTACTACAACCACGGAAATGGAATGTAATATAATGGAATAATAATGGAAAATTATTCCACTAGTACAGTGAATTAAAATAATCGTCATTTAAAGCTTTCAAAAAATAATAAAATACGTTAGAATAGAATAGAATATGTTTATTTGTACAAAACATGTTACAAAAACTAGTTATTAAAGAAATTAACAGTAAGGACAGCAAAACAAATAATACACAGTGCTTATATTGATACACGTTTTACTAACAAAGGTAATATATAGTATAAGGATAAATAATCAATATCCATTTCAAAGCTGTTTTCAAATGTTGCAGTTTTTATGATGTAAAAATATGTAGAATTAATTTAATATTTTGTGGCTTATAAATTTATGTTTAGGCTACAAAAAACAGGAAACAATTTATCTGTTGATATAAGCAACAATGCATGCATTTTTCTTTCCTTGCTTCCTCATCAGCGAGTTAGCAAGTTATATTTAGGTCAGTATCAAATGCACATAAAGCATTGCACTTTCATTTTAGATTACTTCATTAAACCGTTCATCAATTACACCCTACGTAGGTACAATATTAATGGTTTTAAATTACTAGTCTATGACTAAAACAGCAAAATATTTTTCAATGTAAATTACATTAGCAATGTAACTTGCAGAAGTGAGCTGTTGTAGCTCAGAGATCTTTGTTTTTATGATAGCGTCACAGGGTATCTATTAATGACAGTGGCTTCTCCAGTACATCAACTTCAACAATTGCCACCAACTTCATACAAGACGGCTACGAACGCATTGTCATCTCTGAGAACAACAGAAGAAGCTATGCACACGCATGAAATGTGTTTGCTGCCTAACCTTTCAAAACGGAACACAACAGTTCTGCTACCGAATAAAAAGTCAAAAAGCCAGACCAGTTCCAAGACATAAAGTGAGACACATAGTGATATCGCTTAATGACACGTTAGGAACCAAAGTTCAATTTCAGGAGCTAGGATAACTTAAAATATTGTACTACGCTTAAGATCGCACGGCGAGCTATGGATGCTCGGGGTTTCTCTGCGCGATAAACTTAGAAGTGAGAATATCCGCAGTAGAACCAGAGTGACTGACATAGCGCAACGGATTAGTAAGCTGAAGTGGCAATGGGCGGGCCATATAGCTCGAAGAGCCGACAACTGAAGGGGAAAAAAGGTTATTGAGTGGCAACCTCGTACCGGTAGGCGAAGTGTAGGGCGACCCCCCACTAGATGGGGTGACGACCTGGTAAGACATGCAGGAAATCGATGGATGCAGGTGGCTCAGGACCGTGCTTTGTGGTATTACTTGGAGTAGGCCTATGTTCAGCAGTGGACATGTGAAGGGTAATGATGATAATGACGATCCTTTATCACTTGCTTAACGTGTAATGGTGGTCTTGTAAGAATATCCACTACCCCTATCATCCCCAGCAGCGTCTTCATAATAACAACTAAAATTAAAAACGTGTTTTATGGTAAACCACTGGTATAGGTAAGCATAGGCGAGTCAGAAATGTCAATCCCAACATGGTAACTCACCAGATTTGCATTTTTAGACGGCCTACCATCGCTGTCATTAGAGTTATGTCCAGCAGAGTGCATCAAATAGACAGAGAATCATATAGATTTCGCGGAAAGGGAAAAGAAATATATTTAGGGTTACAAGTGTGAGGAAAATCTTTGAGTAAGTGATGGATTATATTTTTGGTGAAGAAAGAAGAAATAAAAATTGTGATATCTGTCTGATAATATTAAAGAAATATTGTGTAATGAATGAGAGCTTAGTGGGCTGTATTTATGTAGGTTTTTAATATGAAGAAGAAGATTGGGGTTTGTTTTTAGTGTGATAGCATTCTCTGTCTACGGCATCAAATCAGGGAAATATAGCATTTTGACATTTATTGTTAATCGATTCATAATCGGAGTGATTATGAATCGATTAACAATAACAACAACTCAATCTAAATTCAACTCACTAGCCGTTAGATTAATATAACAAAGTATAAGCTTCTTATAAGCCCCACATCCATCGAAAATAATGGAAATCTAATTTGAATGCATAAGAGGTTACGAATTTTAAGACCATGTAAGAATACAGCGGATTTCCACTTATTCAGAAGGAAATAAGAATGAAAGAAAATAGGTGCAACAATAACATACTGGAAAGACGAAAAATAAATTAAAAATGGGAAAATACAAACTAGTTTTTGCACAGTCTTTTAAGCAGAGCTATATGCTCTATGTGCATCTAAACTTAACCTAAATATAACTTGCTAACTCGCTAATGAAAAACAGTAAAGAAAAATGCAAAATTATTTATGATGTAAAACATGTCGAATCAATTTAGGATTTTGTGGCTTATATTAAAAGATAAATTGTTTTCATATTTTTTTAGCCTAAATATAAATTTATAAGCCACAAAAAACTTAAATTGATTTGACATCTTTTTACGTTATAAAACAGCAACATTTGAAAACAGATTTGAAACAGATAGTGAGTACCTTTATACGTAAAACGTGTTTCACTATAGGCACATCGTGGAATAAAAGGTAATGACTGATCAGATCATCTAGCCAAAAGGGCAGCGCATAAACAGCCACCCAGTGTGCCAAAAAATATCCTCTCTCCTATATTAGAAAAAAACATTGCGTGAAAAGTCTAGAGCTGTGGAGTATTAGATATAATGAAGATGAGAAAACCGCTGGAGTCAAAAAACTATTCATGCCTAATGCAATATCTGCTTACAAAATTATAAGAAAAACAACTTTCAGACTTTGACAGGGCATGAAGGATTTTTTCAGGATCATAAATTTATGAAAATCCTCCAGCCTCCAAATTATTACTTTATTAAATGTAAAGAACCATCGTGAATTCGGGACCCGAACGAAATAGAAAATGTAGAGCACATTATAATTGACTGTCCAACAATCTCAAAAGAAAAAAACAGAAGCAGAAATAAAAAAACTAAAATAAAATAAATAAAAATACGATATTAGATATTTTAAATGATAAAATTAGGCAAATGGTAATAGACTATTGCACTAAAGTAACAGAAAGAGTAATTCAAGGAAATAAAACAAAGTAAAAAAGCGGTCTGTTTGCGGCCCTAAAGGTCACACGACTAACTCCCCAGTGGAAAGAATAAAAAAATATCATGTTTTTATATTTTATACAGCACAAAAAAACGACTTGACCGATTTTGCTCAAAATTTAATGAGGTCTAAGTTACATAATTATGCGTTAAATGAAACTGGTCTCATGCCAATATCACTCTTTGTTCTTGAGATACACGAGGCGAAAATTGAATCCGAACATACATAGATACATACAAACATATATGCATTCTCCTCTCTGACATCCTCTTAAAAACCATACTTTACGACTCTAAAGACCTTGAAACGTGGAGATATGTTAAAATTTCCAATTTGCAAAATCGGACCCATTACAATAACTTTCCACTGGGAAGTTAAAAAAATGCATTAAGTATTAATATTTGAAATTTAGTTAGTTTTAATAAAATATATAAAAAAACAACGAAACCGCTAACAAAAAGTATATTAAAGTAAGAAAGATCTCCGATTTCTGTGTCAAGGGTAAAACGAAATTAAAAGAAAAATAGAACACACACTTCGGTAACATATTTATCTCCTAGTGGCTATAGTTTCATAATATGTAGAAAAAAAATGTTCTAACCTTAAAGTAAAGAAATGACTATTAGTACAATAAATCTTTTGTGGCAACGAAATATTTTTAGAGCACATATAAATTTAAGGGTAGATTTAATAAGAGTTTTAATATATTGTACAAAATAGAGCTAAGTGACTTAACTAGTATAGACCTAAGTATAATTATTTACACGCATTTGAATAAAGTAAATGCTTTTTCTTTCGTTGTAACATTAACGGTAAAATATGATGATAGAACAGTTACTAACGAAAAACTTTCTAAAATTCCACGAGCAAAAACGGTTTAGCTATTTTGTAATATTTACCCAACTGTCGCAAAAAATCGCGCACGTCCTCCACTAACAAGTCTATTTTGTAAGAGGAAACTCCTTCGGGTCTCTCTGAATCACCATAACCACGCATGTCTACAGCTACACACCTGTAACATATTGTATTGAACTTTATTTATACATTTAAGTAAGAAAACGTTTTAAAAGCACTTAAAATGTTTGTAAGAAGGTATCCAAACAAATAATAATTTTGCAAAAATATATACGATAATGCTCACTTCTATTAATTTCGTCTTGCGTAATGTTTACGTTGAAAAGGCGTGTATAATTAAAACTTCAGCCTACTATTATCTATTGTATTGAAATTGAAGCGACATTATTCACTTTTTGACGCCAAATTACATTATCTGCATCTCTTCAAAAGAGAGCCTTTTGCACGAAGCTTAAAGTTGGTGTAATGTCTGGGAAAAGGGAGTATTACATCAAAATCCGAAAATAGACCGAGAATTAACTTATTAGTTATTGCATGTCACATAACGTTTTATTTATTTGTTTATGCAACGGAAATCACACTTTTTCGCTATTATAATTACTAAAAAAACCAACCACCCACCTTAGGTGTACCATGGAAGGCCACTCTAACAAGTTTCATTGAACTCTTCCAAATGGCCTTGCTAGGAACAAGGCTTTTTAGAAGGCCATTATAATAAATCAGTCATTTAACACTAAAGTTTAATAAATAGCGATGGTTTATATGTTACGTAATAAAACAAAGTATTACGTAAATATTTGTTAGTTTCATTTATCTAGTAAATAAACGAATAATAACTGTTTATTTGTTAGAGTGGCCTTCCATGGTACACCCACCTTATTTTAACGTCGTCGATTCCCGAAATCAATGAAGCGAGGGACCGTACTGCTAAAATAGTAGCGCAAGCGATTCGCCGCCGCGTCTGTGATTTTCAGTTCGATGGGTGTTTGTGTAAGTAGAAGGAATTCGTATAATGACAAAACTACGACATTTTAATAATTGGCCTTCGAAGGAGCATGGCCTTCCATGATCCACCCACCTTACTTCAAAATATTAATTACAACATAATTACAAAGCTATTGAAACAACATAATATCCGAAATGTACATTACCAGTAATCCTTTTTGAACTCTAAAATTTGGTGCCGCCATGAATACCAAAACTCAGGGTATCCATGCAGAAACAGCATAAGGGGCTTAGAGGCGTCGCCGCTTTCTACGTAGTGTAGTTTAATGTTCTGTAAAAAAGGTGCCCTTCATTATATGTAAACAAAAATTAGTATTAATTTATTACTTATTTCGAAAGAATATTTTCTCAATTTGGACAATTGTTGCTTGTTGGCTATCATGGCTGCAACACCAATTGGACAGTAGCCGGTAGCAGTACTACACTCGCGACAGATATCATAGCCAAATAGCTGCGTAATACTAATGTTCCGTGTGTTGAATGACGAGAACTGGAGATTTTTTTTAACGATGCATTTCATCTTAATCCTTAGGGGTGAAAACGCAACTGCATTTTAGCGGTCAGCCGACGTAGAGTCTACATCAACTGAGGATGCCTCGTGCAGAGGTGAAACACGTGTCGTATTATCGTCGATGGTGTGTCTTACCTGGAATAGTGGTGTTGGAAGTAGTGGTGTCGGGAGTAGGGTGTGGGGAGGGAGTAGTGGTGTTGGGAGTAGTGGTGCTGGGACTAGTGGTGACGGAGTTAGTGCACGCAATTGAGGGAGGGCGGGAGGTGCTCTTTAATCCAGGTAAGACACACATACATCATTGTATTTAGTTAGCGGAAGATTGCAAAATAATTAATATTTTTATTATAATGGATTTCCGCAAAGTAACGCCTGATCCTATCAATTACGCATTTTGATTCTTAAGCGAGGATAGATGACAATGTCCATTGGATACAGTTTTCATTAATTATCAGTTGAATTATGAGTTTCGTATGTCACTTTTACTTCCATAAAAATAAATGTTTTGAAGTCACGAAGCAAAGCTTAGTGAATGCATTGTAGTTGCTGCACCCAAATATTGAGTTTAATAATAAACTCTAATTAATTTTGGAATATTCATACAAAGAGCAAAAACTTTTTACGAACGAACAAGTATGTATATATGTATATGAAACATATACGACACGCCGGAAGAAAAATGTTATATGCTTTTCTTTTCTCAAATAGAAACTGGTCTTTTATAGTAAGTAGTAGTAGTTTTATGAACTCATTGAAATATTATGTACGTACATTATACTTTAACGCATGAACTAAATAAAATGTTTTTTTGACAAGCGATTCGATCCACCTGATTGTAAGTAGTTACTGCAGTCCATACAGCAGGCTACACCTGCAGCCATCTTTAAACAATGACGTTTTAAGATGCGTTATGGCTTTACGAGATGCCTCACAGCCTGTAAGGCGTACATTACATGCTCATGCAGGTGTCAATCAATTCCATCAATCATAATTGATAAAAAACGGATGGTGATTGATAGGTGTACATTACGCGCTCATGCAGGCGTCAATCACTGCAGTACGCGGTAGGTTATGCGTCAATCACAACCGTGATTGTTGTAAAACTGACAGCCTGCATGAGTAATATACGCCTAATTATGCTGACTCTCCATATACCCTTCCGACCGGCTAGTTTGTCGACAGGAATAGACAAGAGGATGATGGAAGATAAAGAGTCCTGCTACCTAGAGTAATAAATATGTTATAATGTTTGATGATATAAAAGGTTATATTGTTACTTTTTAGGCAGATATGTTTGTTACTAATTACAACGTATGACCACAGTCTCGTTTATTCATCCACTCACTACAGCTTAACAAAAGTCTGTTGCTGAACATAGGCCTCCCCATAGGTTGCATTGTAGGCGGATTTTACCAGAGTTGCCACTCTCTGCAGGTGGATTGGAAACCGTAGTTTGTAGTATTTTCATTCGTCATCATGAAAATGCTGTTGCCCTCAGCAAGTCGTAATGATCGCTGTTCAAGGTATCTCAAACCGTAATTTTAGTCAAGACACTTGTCCGTTTGTCCGTAGAGCATTAAAAGACTTTTCTCTATATCGTTATATTTCGATTTTAAGATATATCTTACCTTTGCTGCGCCGCTGCCCTCTCAACGTATTTTATGTCTATCGTGTAAAATACGGTTAGGCACGAAAATATTGTCATGGGAAACATTTTTTCTACATTATTTTAAAGTAGATTATGATCGGATCGGATATCACCGTTAGGGTTGCCGTTTTTTGAAAAAAAAAACTTATTTAATCTTTTGAATACGAAAAAAGGTATTTACAAGAAAAAAAGTATTTTTCAAATTTAAGTTTTTATTGCTTTAATATTTTTGCTTACTTTATTTTCATGTATAAGTATAAAGTATATTTGTCAAAAATAAATTAGGATACATTATTATAAAATATGGTTGACAACCCTAAGCACCATATACTTTTAATGTAACTGCACGATAGTACTTCTGTAAAGGGTCATGAGATCTTCCTTTTATCAAATCTTACAGCACCTGTGAGACAAAACAGGTGAAGGATTTTCTTACGCCGCGCCGCCACCACACGGAAATATTAATTCAGCACAAAACTGATTATAATAAATTGTTACATCATATCCCCGAAACTCTTTACCGCTGCATTGGAAGATGTTTTCAAGCTACTGAATACTAGCGAATATTATAACTTATTCTATCTCCGTTATATAACGTAATTTCGGACATAATTAACTTAGCAATACGAAACATTTTCGCATGAATATTGAATATAACGTTCAATAGTGCGTGTGGCGACCAGTCACTCGTTCCATAATGTACCTACCTAAATAAGATTTAAAAAAATAACATCATGTTCATAGACCGTTTCACTTTCTGGCATAGTAACTTAAAACTATATATGATAGATACCTACTATATATATAGAGGATTACATTATATTACTAAAATGTTACTTTTTAAAACCAGTTTTGTAATACATTATGGTATAGGCAACGTTATGATAATGTAACCAAATCGTGTAGTGGGGGTGTAAGAATATCCACTATACAATATCGTCCCGTGGGTGTCGTAAGAGACGAAAGAGGAAAATCATAACAAGTAATGGGCACCAGCATCTTCCCGATAACAACTGAAAATATTAAAAAATGCGGATGCCAACCCGCCTGCCAAGTATGGCAAGTATGGCAAAATCCTCCATGAGGCAATCTATGGGGCAGGCCTATGTTCAGTAGTAAACTTTTATAGGCTGTAATCTTAGACCATTTTGAATGGTCTAACGCTGTAATGGATGAAATGGAACGTATGATAAAACTAATAGCCTTACATTACTAAAAAACGGTGTTCTACAAATGGAATAATAAATTATAATAAGATTCGTCTTTACTTGCATTAACTGTAACATTAAAAAAACAATCGTTATATTTTACATCTACGTTATTATTATCGTCTATTATCGTGCGCCTAGCGAAGCGAGCGAGTATCAACTAGTCAGCAATTAATTTCAAAAATCCCAAAAAGACAGCCACCACGCCACGCTGTTCCAATACTGGTAATCGAATTTACAAAATTTGTATTTTTTTTTAATTTTCTTAGACATCAAAAATTTATAATCAATCATCTTAGTATTCAGGTGTGGCAACGCATCTGCATTTTGATTCTTAATCGAGGATTAGGCTGCGTTTGGCAGAAAAAAGCGCTAGGAAGCGCTTGTAAACAAAATGGCGAAACTAAGAATTTTCATGTTTGTTTTGAAGTAGAGTTTATAAGTTGTTTTGTGCAATTAGTTTCAAGTAATATAATGAATAAACATATTATACATGTTATACATGTTATTAAAAATTCGTGATTGATAAGTATTTAATATGAATACTTTACAAACATACAAGTATATAAATTAGGCTATAATATATATATATATATATATATATATATATATATATATATATATATATATATATATATATATATATATATATATATATATATTAGATTCATTAAATTATAAACACTATTTTTTCGTATTCGAAGTATTAAATATGTTATTTTTTGAAGCCGTCTTTGTTTAAAGATGGCTGCAGGTGTCTATGGACTGCACTGCACTTATCAGGTGGATCGATGTCCGTTTTTCAAAAAACATTTTATTTGGTTCAAGCGTTGAAGTATAATGTACAAATAAAAGTTAATATATTTCAATGATTTCATATTTTTATTATAAAATACCGTTTTCTATTTGAGAAAAGGAAAGCATAAAACATTTTACACTTTCCGTAAAGACCGATTTACACTTCGACAAGTACAGTAGCGAGTTTAGTTACAGGGCAGTTAATAGTAAACGGTTAAGTGGGCAGTAGCGTTCAAACAATGTCTTCGAGGCGAGTTTAGTTAAGGACATTAGTTCATAAAGTTCATTAGAGTATGACTTTTCAAGACTACAGAATTTTTCTGGTTTTCGTTTAAGATGGTTCTAGGATTACGTCAAGAATTAAATGATCCAGTCAGATAAGTATTAATGGTTGTTGTTAAAGAAGTTTTTAAGAATTTTCATGAGTGCAGCATCTCGAGCAGGTTTAATTTTAAAATTTGAACTTCTGCTATTATAAAAACATTCGTGTTCTAGATACTCCTGGACAAATTTATACGTGATATCTTCCGTCCATTTTATTATTAAAAGTAAAGAAAAGTAAAGTAAAGTTACAGCCTATATACGTCACACTGCTGGGCACAGGCCTCCTCTCATTTCTGAGGGTTTTTAGGGCAAGGAAATGTCCGCCGCGCTGCCCCAGTGCGTGTTGGCGAACTTCATATATCTTCGAAATATTTTTTTTCTTATTTCTCAGACATGCAGGTTTCCTCACGATGTTTTCCTTCACCGCCGAGCACGTGGTAAATCAGTACTTAAAATTGCAATTAACAATTTCATTGGTGCCGGCGGGGATCGAACCCGGTTTGCTCGCGTATTGTGAAATTTACAGCGAGCGCTAACCATCTGAGCTACCACGGCTCATATTATCAAATCTCATATTATTAAAACTCAATATAAAACGTATAAATATTCAATAAACAGTAAATGTACAATTGTACGTTTAGGCGCGCAAACGTTGTGTCCTGTGAACTTATGCGCTAAACTAAACTCGCTCGTTTACACGAACGGTGAGCTTGGTTGCGGGTGGCGGGAGACTCGCGAGAGGACAGCACTTCGCACTTAACTCGCCGAAAAATAGCTCGGCCGGC